ATTTAATGATAAGTTCAGAGCGCTTGAAAAAACAAACAAAATCTGTAGTCACTAAATGTTTGCACAAAATCCGATGCAATTCTTGACACCAATAACTGGAAAATGTTTTTGCATTAGTCGTTGAAAACTTTATACGAAAACCTGTGCATCCGATGTGTATTGATATTACAATACGTTATGCAATAATATTTAAAAACTTAGTTATCTATCCACAGGTTTTGTTGTGCGGTATTTACACATCAAACCAAACGCTGTATTCAAGTTTTGGTCAGTTGTTTGAGAGCGTATAAAATGCCACAAATGCTTAGGTATTGTAACAGAAAAATATTTTTCATGAATAGGATATGAGAGTCGATACTCGACTTAAAGGCTCGACTTATGCCGAGACTTAACTTAGTTTTTTGTGAAAATCAGGTCGTGATCTCCACTGTTAGCTGTAGTCCTTACTGTTTTAGTGTACAAACTGTGAAATGTTTAGAAGTTTTTGCACCGAAAACTCTAGAGGCATGACATCAGTCGAGATGTGTATTGTCTCTGTGTTTAAAAAGTCTTTCCAAACAATAAGAAAAACATATTTTGCTAAAAGTCGACGTCAGAGGTGTATATCTATTGAAAAACTGGTCGCTTCACTGATATTCAAGCACTTTATGCACTAAACAAATGGTTGGAAATAAAGTTTTTATGAAACAATTTTAAGCTTATGTTATATAACAATGTATGTAATGTTTTGGGAAAATACAGAATTTTATGTTTTATGTGTCAAAAGCTCGGGGAGTATTTGAAATGCCAGTACTATTGCAGTGCAAAGTCATTCATTCATTCAGATTTAAAGCATTAATTTCTAGTGTAAGTGAAATTGCATTTAATAAAAACATGTAATTTAAAATGAACTTAATATACCCTGAGCATCTGTATTTTTAGCCTAAAGTCAAAGACTTGTGTTTATATTATGCAATGTTGTTTACTAGTATATGGGTTATTGAATGTCACACTACTTGCCCCCTCCCTAACTAAGTTATACTCGGATAGTGTATATGAAATACAATTTAATTCATAAGGGGCGACGCTATAGTGAACATTCAATCTCCTAATTGTGCCCAACCTATGACTTGTTAGATAATTTTCAAAAATCTTAACCCAAACCCAAAATAATCTATAGTTAATTACAATTAAAACATAAATACAATTCACTTTACATATACAGTACAAGTCACTGGTTTTTTCTGGGTTACCACTTAATGCCATTGAATTCTCATTCATATATTAATTAAATATTGTGTTTAATTATGTAATATTTTTAGTCAAAAAACAATTGCTTTATAATATATTATTTTGGGGTAAATCCAAGTTTTTTCACACACATGAATAATTAGCAAATGAGTGCAATTTTCTTACTAATATAATCGTTAGATAAGACAAATCGATGACAAAAAGTGTTACTCTTTAATCAATATTTGTTTTTGAAAATTGGAGTATTTTCTTGTATATTAATATTAGACTCTACTTGAAATGAGTTGACTATTAAGTGGAGCACAAAAACTATAAGTCGTTTTTGAATATAGCATTCAAATAATGCTCTAAATTAGTCGCTCCGACGAGTGGTTCCCCATTAAGACTTGACTACCAATACATTAGCTGTCAGTTTGCATTAAAAAATCGCGTCCAATATAAACACATTATGTATTATATTATTTGTTATTTGTTTGACACAAAAGATATCCTTTTGAACAAAAAATTCACGATTCAAACGATGAGTTCAGTGGAAATTTTTATTTATGAAAAACCTCTTTCATTATTAATTACACGTTCAAAGGATATCTTTTATTTGTATACCATTTGTACGGCACTTATAATGAGGAGTAATTTAAATGATGTGTCTGTGGTGTGCCTATAGGATAGGGCGTCCGGATATGACTAACAAACATCATATCGTATGAAAGGAGTGTATTATTCGCGAAAATGTGTTATTCTATACGAGAAATCACATTAAGATTTGGCACCAAATATCAAGTTTAAGGTTATATTTCACGCTTCAGTTTTAAGTGCAATACTTTTTTATCTATGAAATACTATTATTATATTTAAATAATTATTTTTATTGGTTTTTGTTTAAAATAAATAAAATTCTCGGCAAATGAGGGAAATTCTAAATTAGGAAATGTATATAAAATATTATATTATAAACTTTTTGAGGCAAATTTGTGCCTTATTTTCAGTACAGTATTAATTTACTGAATATTTGTTTGAAAAAAGCACTCAAACTTCATTCAATTCATTACTCGTTGCTAATTGTGGGCAAGAATTTGCTTATATTCATAATAACACGAATATTAATTTAAATGCTATGTTATTATCTCAAAAATAAAATAAACTAATTTATGATTCATGTCATAAAAATCAAGAAAACTGCTATTTATTTAAATGAAAACATTTTCGTACATATCATGTATTTATCTAAATGCCTGCCTGTCTGTATGTCAGCAGTTTAATGGCAATATATTGTCATTAAAAATAAATATTACATATAATTTGATTCACAGAAATATACTGTCAAATGGTTTATTGAAAACAATGACATCAAATGGTAAACAAATGTATTGAACGCACAATGCGTTGAATTAAAAGAGAAAATTATTCATTACTTCCTAAGAGATTAATAGCGGGTTATTAACCATTGGTTTGAATTAATGTGATAATAAAAGTAATATACAAACAATTAGATAAACAACATTCATCCACTTATAGTTGTAGTATATTTTCAAATGCAAACTCCCAGCCCCTTAATTGAATGCTCGCGAATTATATTTATGACTCCCACTCGAAAGGAAAGCCTAACAGTTATATAATTTACAATATATTCTGCGCTCTGCACCACGATATAGAGATTGAAAAATACAAAAATTGCTTGTATTATACATTATAGCGTAGATATAAGTGTAATAATTATCAATAGATTTTTGCATCCAATTCGTGAAATACTTGTTGTGCCGTAATCTCTGCCAATGTCTTACACTCAAGTGATTCAACGCTTCCTTTTCACATACAGTGAGAGAATATAAAGCATTATATTATGTGTTATGCAGTGTCTGAGTGTTAGTACAGTACTTGTGCCTCAATTACCGCACATTATATATAAATTAATAATTATTATTATTCACAAAACACATCACTAAACGGAAAGAGAGTGAGAGTGAGTGAATGATAGAGAGAGAAAGGACTGGGAGTTTGGGAAAAGGAAGTCATACTTATACTATACATGAATTATATGAACACAAACTGACAGAAAAAAAGTTGCTATTATTACAGTACTATTCAAAGTCAAAGCCTCACTCATAAGTGTTTCTCACACACGAATTCAGTCGATAACTTCATTATGAAATTATCTGTGAATTAAGAAATATGTGAAAAAAAAGTTTTTTCCTTCAAAAGTCAGTTGTTAAAGGGAATCGTCTTTTTGTGCACTCATTTTACATCACATATTGGTATCAGTGCTCAAAGGAGTAGTGAATTTCATTTTCTCGTTAAATCAGCGCATCGTTTATACACTGGTATGCGATTCCGTGCGGTTTGAATGTTTTGTGTCACACAATTTGATTGCCAATTCACACTTATAACAGATTAAATGTCAACCAAAATCATGACTACCAATTCAAACATCGGATCCACCCGTCCCATCAAAGTGGTTGTCGTAGGGGACGGTATGTACCGTTTTATGAATGATATTTTATTTTCTATTTAATTATAAAAATGCTTATTGTTTGCTATAACCACTAATTATTAGACAATTGCTAAAAGTGGTGTCAGATTACTAAATATGGCTAAACATGTATACATTTTTGTGTTTCCCTTCTTAGGAACGGTAGGAAAGACCTGTCTATTGATAAGCTATACGACTGGAAAGTTTCCGACCGGAGAATATATACCAACAGTGTATGACTTTTCACTATATATTTACGTTAAAATAATTTATATATTTTGTTTATTTTTATTAAACCATATTATAATTTGTTTGCATTTTAAATGCCATACAATTCCTTTCAACACAAAAGTTTTGTTTATTTAAAATGAATTTTTTTTGCTAGTACAGTATTATATTTTGAAATGTTAAACAAAAACAACCCATTAATTGCAAGAATATTCTGTAGTTTCGAGAATTACGCGGAGACTATGACTGTCGACGAGGTTGACGTCAACCTTACCCTCTGGGATACGGCGGGTCAGGAGGACTACGAACGCCTGCGACCACTATCTTATCCCGGGGTTTGTAATCCTTACATAAAATTTACTTATTTATTTAAAACCTTTTTATTACTTCAAATACATTAGGCATTAAAAATAATTATTTAAAAGTTTTTAAACACTTCATAAATGCATAAATGGCTAATTAAACCTCATTTAATGCCCGTCCCATAGGCCGACATATTTCTCCTATGCTTTAGCATCGATAACGTCCACTCGTACGAGAATATGATCGCCAAATGGCAGCCAGAGGTGAGACACCACTGCCCGAAGACACCGTACCTTCTGGTGGGAACCAAAACAGATCTGCGATATTCTGGACGATTATCGCCCGATAATAAGAGCCAAACGGATCTGACGACAGATACGACGACGACCGACAACGGCCTCAAGCCGTTCATCACGAAAGCGATGGGCAAAAAGATGGCCAAAAAAATTCAGGCCATTAAGTACATCGAGTGCTCGGCGATGACTATGTCCGGGGTTAGGGAGGTATGTAATCATATGATTTGAGTTTTGTGGTGATATTTATTTGTGTGTCTCTCTGATGGACAGGTATTCACGGAAGCGGTTCGCGTAGTGCTGTGTCCACCGACTCAAAGGATGTGTCAAATTATATAACAATTGTCTCATTAATTGTCGTTTAGTTTGTGAGCCTATTATATGTGCCATTCGTTGTATTTATATATGTTTTTATGCAAAATGTATTTCAGTATTGACTTAATTTTTATTATTAGCGCAAAGGATTTTATTTCACTGAAATGCAATAGTGTTTCCAAAAACAATATAAATCTATTTTATATTTATTGTAACATTTTTGATATAACTATTATTTAAATGACATAATAATAATATTTATTATATAAACTTTTAAGTTATTGTTCGTAACTAAACGTAACATGTTTATATATTTAATTTTATTGTACAAATGAAGAAATAAATCATGATAAACGTAGAAATGAGAATTGTCCTTGGCAATTATCAACAACTTCATCGTTACTTATCATTTGGGGCTTTTTTATTCACTAGTAATCATTAATATAAACACAAAACTTGTTTCAGACGTAAATGGTAGGCAACTGAACAAAAATTGCCAATTAACCAATAAAATACAATAACTTAATTAAATTAATTGCTCGCAAACTAGGCCCAGAAATTATATATACAGGTACAGTTTGCATTCAAAAGTTAGCGCTAACTATGCCTTTCGGTGTCACTATAGATGGAGTAGTGATTTGATTGACACAACAAATGTGTGTATTATTTGTGTTGTTTTTGTTGGCAAATGCATTGAACGCAACTTTTTCCTAATAAAAAACATCCTCACAAACAGATGATTATGAAATCGATAATTAAAAACTAAAAAATTATGTTCAATTCATTATGAAATGATAAAATACATACACGTCTCATGTGTGCCATTCATTTGCAACGTTACACTTGTGCTGTAATTGGTTTGCACTTTAGTTCACCAAACAGTCTCTCATATCATAGTTATCTGTATTACACCGAAAAAGTCTATTAAAAATCTAATATTCCTATAAAAAGGTGTTTTTCCTCATAAAACCTCATTAATAATTCAGTGGTTATGAGACAAATGTCTCAGAAAACTACTTCGTGAACGTAAACACAAACTTTTCTCCACCCATAGAAACAAACGGCTATTCATTGGGAAAAGAGTTTAATTTTTTTTATTATACAACAAAATGTTTGCCAAAAAGTTTGTGAACCAAAAGTTTTTACTGAACGAGATTTTGTCGAAAAACGTCCAAAAGTTTATTAATACCCAAAAGTTGGCTACAAATCCGTACAA